AGATAAAGATAAAGATAAAGATAAAGATAAAGATAAAGATAAAGATAAAGATAAAGATAAAGATAAAGATAAAGATAAAGATAAAGATTAAAATTAAGATTAAGATTAAGATTAAGATTAAGATTAAGATTAAATGTGTTGGCATAACAAAAATGAAAATAGTGGAAAAAAGCAAACGATAATTTACAAGGCGTACTTAGCACGGTGCATAGGCAACTGGCTGAGTCAGTGGGATCGTCGGTTCGAAGCCTACTGAAAGAAGTCTGATGAGGAAATGTGGTGATTTCCGAAATAGCTATCACTTCTACCATTTTTTCAAATTATTGTTGCTTTTCCACAATAAATTTTCATTAAAAAACGGCCTCGAGCTCAATAAAAATTGTTGAATATGATTAAGATTAAGATTAAGACTAAGATTGAGATTAATATTAAGATTAAGATTAAGATTAATCTTTGATTAAGATTAAGATTAAGACTAAGAGTAAGATTAAGATTAAGATTAAGATTAAGGTTAAGATAAAAATTACCAAAGCGATTTTCATAATTTTGAAATTTAATGTCCTATTATCAGGTGCTCCCGAGTGACCTGGAATCCAGAGCAAAACAGGTTTTTTACATATGTTTTCCAACATAATTAGCCGATACTGAAATTTCCGGTAACTGGTAAGTAAAAGTAAGTCACTAGAGAGCTGTTCAACTTGGCTGTCGCTAATAGCACGTAAACTTCAACTCTCCGACTATTTAATACCACGTAGTCCATAACATTGAAGATTACAAATACCATGGCTTGGAATATTGAGACATGTTCTCAAAGAGAGAAGTGCACATTGTCCTCATTATCTTCGATATAGACTCCAGATCTTTACTAGGTGTCAATTTTGGAGCCGTCAGGGCGCAATTTCGGGGTTAACTCCAAACTCAGCAGCGGTTTCCTCATCATAGACATACATACATTCATACATTTGAGGGTATTGTGTGCAATTTTAAGGAAATCTGAATTCAGACTTAAGGCAACCAGATTTTGCAGAGCCGCCTTCCTACTTGACCATATTTAGATTATTACTATCAAGGCCAAGTGTACTTATCCCGCAATGGGATAATTGAGCGAAGCAAATATTTAGTGCACAGCAGAAATAAAGCGAAAAGTAGACAAAGTGAGACCGAAAAGCATTGGAATTAAACGGCAAAAAAAAAATGTTCAAGTTATAAATGCGCAATCACACATAATTCTCATACATTTGTGCAGATATGTATGTATATACATATGTATTGTATGTAGATAGCGAGTGCGAGTAAATCCTTGAGTAAACCCATGCAAACGCGCTTGCACCGAAACACAAACGTAAACATAATCAAATTTGAAATCAGAAGCACGAGTAGTTGCGAAAAGACGGCGCGGCGAAGCAGATGAAAAACAAAAAAAAAATAAAAATGAATAACATAGAATAATAAAGATTTAATGCGAGAAGCGTGCCAGTAATTTGCATTCACACAGAATAATTTCCAGAGGATCAACACCATGGTGCAGCAAAATAACATACACGCAGATACACTTACCTTCACACGAGGAAGTACCTACAGTATCGGTCATATCTATAGCACGCCATTTCAAAGTGATACTGTGTGCCACTTATATTTATTTATTAATTTTTAAGAATTTTCAATTAAAATATAGTTCATTCTCAGATAAACCCGATACAAACACAAGCTTAATAATTTGTAGAAAACTACAAAAAACTGCAACAAACTTTCACATAAATTTCAAACTTTTTTCTCGGAAGTGTTAGAATTTTTTTGAGTACACAGTTTTTTAGCCCCTTCATTTTTAGTCTAATAATGTGCAAATTTGAAGTGGCTACGAACTACCGTTTATTTTTTAGATTTTTTTTTGGCGCATTGGCTTCCATATAATGAATAAACTCAATTTATTTGTACTAGTGTTCGCCCAGCGGTTGAAATTCAACCGATAAAATTAAGGATAGTTTATGTAAGTTGAATGAGCTAAAATAACATTAGTTGGAATGGGTTAAGTGGAGGGGAGTTTAGCTTAGTACTTGGCATAACATAACATAACCATAACATAAGAATAAATAACATAACATATGAAGCATAACACACCACAATATAACATCGCACACTCTCCAGTTGTATTTCCTTTTTATCCCTTTTTTCACCTCTATCTAAATCTTATTTATTTTGGTTCATTTTAAGCCAAATGATGTTGCCTTTGATGCCACATCAAGTGATATCATGTCATGTGGTGAGCTGCGGTGTGGTGGAATTGGGTGTAGGAGTTACGGTGTGGTGAATTTAGGTGTGGTGGATTCAGGTGTGGTGAGTTAAGTTATGGTGAGAAAGTTGAGGTGTGGTGAATTAAGGTGTGGTGAATTTTGGTGTGGTGAGTTGAGGTGAGTTAAGGTGTGGTGAGAAAGTTGAGGTGTGGTGAATTAAGGGTGGTGGATTTAGGTGTGGTGGATTTAGGTGCGGGGGTTAAGGTGTGGCGAGCTGAGGTGTGGTGAATTTAGGTGTGGGGAGTTAAAGTGTGGTGAATTAATGTGTGGTGAGCTCAGGTGGAGTAAGTTTTTAAGTTAAGATGAGTTAAAGTTAAGGAGTTATGATTTTTATCCTTATCTTCATCTTCATCTTCATCTTCATCTTCATCTTCATCTTCATCTT